ATGTCGTCCTTGCTCTGCCCATTTGGTAGCAGCCTCGCCCCGAGGTATTTAAGGCTCTCTACGTCTTCAAGTTGATGACCATTAGTCCCCAGGGGTGCCTTCTCCTAGTCAAAGATGCAGCTTGAGAACAACTTCGTCTTTCCGAAATTTATGGACATGCCAACCGACATATCAGCCAGTTGTCCCCAGCCGACATTCATAACACGACATCGCTCCTGCAGCTATCAATTCGAACGAATGTTGTATTGACAATGTCAGCCAGTTGACATTGCGCCACTTTACAAACTTGCACCCGGTGCGTATCTAAGAACTTGGCATTCACGCGCACTTTCTGCTGGGGTTAGCTTTCATCCAAAGAAAAAAAAATGCCGTCTGGCGTGTCTTGTTTTCTAATACTTGGCCTTGCGATTGTGTGGCGGTTAAGGTATACTTTTTGTTTAAACTCTACGACCATTTTGCTTATGAATTGCTGATATGGTTTTTTTTCCCGCAGCTATCGTCAGGCTCAAGCGGCTGTTTTGGAAGCCATCCCTCGCCTTCACGAGCTTAACGTGCCTACCAAGCGGCCGGCAGACTACTTTGCCGAAATGATCAAGTCAGACGACCACATGGTTAAGGTTAGAGGCGACATTTTTCATAGGGTGGATTTCTTTCTGTGCACATTTGCCTATAGGCAAGTGTCAAAAAACCCGGAGATAAAGGACTTTATTTTCTTAAACAAGTGTCGCATCCTATTTAAAATTGCAACCAAATGTTGTAATCCCAAACCCTTTTATGTATACCTCTTGTCCGTAGAGGTCAGCTAGAACTTTGCTTTGATACTACAGCCAATTGTTAAGTCATAGTTGCATTCCAGTGTGACTGACCTTTAAGTCATTATATCATTAGTAACTTAAGTGTTGTCTTTGGGATCAGTAAGACAAATGAACGGTTATCATGCTACTTTTCATTTTCCCCCTTGTTCCATCATCCTTTTCACCGTCAACAGCGCTTAACGGGCATTTTGCAAATGTATTTTAGTCAATCAGGGCGACGATCTTTCGTAGGTTTATGCGTACTTTAGTCATAAGTGGGATTTTTTAGGGCCAAACCTGTGCAATGCGATAACGCACTTATTGAATTGTTTTCTTTTGTGCGCTAGATCTATTTTTTTGCCATTTTTGCAGGTGCGCGAAGCAATTGTCATCAACAAAAAACGCTTGGAACTGCGCGAGAAGGCGCGTCAACTGCGTCAGGCCCGCAAATTTGGCAAGGAAACCCAAAGGGAAGTGCTTGAAGCACGCCGTCTTGAGAAGAAGAAACACATGGATGCATTGAAAGCTGTGAAGAGGAAGCCAGGTGAGATAGACATTACAACTATATATACAAGCTACTACATAAGATGCAAGTAGTATAGTTATATTAAGTGTTTATTGCACACAAACCTCGTATTACCTGCGTCCATATGCCGCCTA